TCATTGCGTAACGTCAATGATGGCACCGCTTAACGTCAATGATTGCCTTAGAGAAATCTATTATGTAACTATAAGCATTGTATTTCCTTCCCCTTTTACCCATTATCTGGTTGGAAAAGAAATATGTTGCAGCCTTCTACTTAGATTGACCTCCTTCCCTGTGTGAAGTTGTGCTTTGCTCCTCGAACGTAGCTAGATTGGTTTTTATCAGTGATGGTTGATAGAGCGGTGTGAAGGACTAGAGGAGGTGCAACTGTACGAGCCATTCCAGAGGGAAATTTCAGTAAACTGATCGAATTGAAATGAATGTAAGAGTATTCTTGGCGGTGTAGCATGATTGTTTCTTTCGAGGGTGTCTGGTTTTGTTAATTTGAGGTATCAAAGATGTTTGATGGAAACTTTTGGTCCATTGCTTCTAAAGCTTTGTTTGGTGATCATTACTTCCTCAGCGTCTAGTTAACGCCTAATTATAGGTGATGCATATAGTTTAACATGGTCCGATTTTTAAGAGCAAAAGGAGTGTTTTCGTTTGGTGACTCCATTCACGGGATAAATTGGATAAATACAGCATCAGACTGTTGAATTTATGATTTATCTGGCTAGTCCACAATCATGTCAGAAATTGCATTCTCATTTCACATGATGGGGTATTGGATTTCTTAGCAATGCTGGAAACAGTTCACCTGATGGTTTATCTCGAATAATCTCCTTCTGGATTAGCTTTAGTCAGTTGATATGAGGCGGAGCTGAATTATATCTGATGTGCCTGAAATATTATAGGTTAGAAACAAAAGAAGTTTCTCCATAAGTTGAATTGCTTGTACAGTCCAAGTTAAAGACCAGCTTTTAGATACTCCTTTGAGTCCCATTAAGTTCCATGTAGTTTATTGATAGAAACTCAGGTTTTCAATCTGTCTAGAGAAATACTCCTTTTCCCCCCCTCCCCTAAATAGACCTAGACATGCTTTATATTATATGATATAAAGATCAAGATTATTAATATTGATTCAATTTCTAGCATGTAAAATGGCTTTCACAGGTGAAGTGATTAGGATGTCCAACAATGCGGATAGAGGATTTGCCGTGCCTTTCCTCTAGTTTGGTTTGCCAATTGGCATCATGTTTGTTTGTTTTGCATGGTCATAGGATTTTCGTTGGTGCCTCTAGCGTTTTGAGAAATAAAAAAGAGGAGAAAATGTTGGACTGTACTTCAAGGTTCAGGATGGAGAACCTAGCTGCAGAAGCATGTGGGATGAATTAAGCAATAAAGTCGATGCACCACCTCGTTCTCTGTTGTGCAAATTGCTAATGTTCTCATGTCATATTTGACGAGCTTGTTGCAGGTTGAAACTGTCATGTTTAAGTTTGCATTGAGATGAATTAAGCACAAAATCGGACAGAATCATTGTCTCTAGTTGATTTCACTTGTTCAAAAATACCAGATAGCGGTCCTCTAATACTTGACCTTTGTGAGCAATTCAAGTTTTCGAAGAGTTCTAGTATGAACTTCGAAAAAGGAAGAGTTTGAGCATGAACTACCCTACTCATTACGCTCACGTATACACACACTACCCTACTTATTATACTCCAGTAATTATACAGTAGAATTAAAGGATAGTTATGTCTTCAATTACACGGTTACCTTAATGTTTCCCTTCACAACTATCTACATCTTTTTAACCCAAATGCAACAAATATAAGATTTTATATAAATATTATTTAAGGACCAACGACTGCTTAAAATCAAAATAACTTCAAATTTTTGAAATGTAAATTTAAACCCTATAATTTTAGGGTAATTATTTGATATATTAGTTGTGGAACCACAAGTAATTTTAATCAATTATAATTTGTTTTTAACTAGTATTTAAATAAATAACTAGAAGCACGATAATAAATTAAAAATTAAAAATAATTTTTATCTATTAATTATGATAAAAATATTAATCCTTGAGATTTTTAAATCGATCTTTCATAACATCATAAAAAGTACAAGTTCGAAGAGGGTTCAAAGATTGTTACATATCTCTTCTTAGTGTATTAATTTATTGATTTTTTAAGAATAATTTATTACTGTACCCATTTATGTATTTAGAAAAAGTTCTAATTAAAATTAAAAAAGATTCGTTGATAATATATTAGAACAATTTTTTAGCCCAAACTAATCAATAAAACTTGGGCCAGCCTAGTCAATCTACACCAAAGCCTCAAGATTGAAAATTTGAAACCCTAACCCTAATTATCGATTTGCTATATATAGCACACCCTATCCCTTCCTCCGTTCTCAGCAGCCTCTCTCTTAATCTACGAAAAAATCTATGTAATTCTATGTGTGTATATCGCTTTGCTTTTTTTTAAGAGATGAATTTGCATGGAATTAAAGGTATGGTTAAGCAAGTCAGCTTCTTGATTGGTTGCAGATAGAAACGACCCACCCAATCAATTTATCGAAATTGCTTGCGATATTTAAACTCCGAGCCGGTATCACTCGCCTGAATCTGATCTCTTTTTTCATGATTTTTCAGGCCCTTTACCTACCGGCATATTCATTATTGATTTTGAAGGAAAAAGCTTTATGCAAACGCACTCTGTCCCAAAACTCGTTGCGAAGACGAATTTGTTTTGAGGCAATTTCTTCGTTTGCGATATTAATAGATTCCAACTTACTCGCCCGATTTGATCTATTCTTTACCTGATCATATCGGGCACATGGTTGGAATATATTTCTCTCTTTTTCCTTTTCTCATCATCTTTAACCTTACCTTTACAATCTCAACACCTGTTTTCATTGTTTTTTATCTGTACGATTTGAATGTTAACTAATATTCTGGAAAAAATATTCCTTTCAAATTTCAGCTAATAATATTGAAATGGCAACCGAGTGCAGCCTAGGTCATTAACACCATGAAATTTCAGCTAATAATATTCTAAAAATTGAAATGCAAACACCAGCAATTCCTTGCAAAGTTCTTTGTTGTGGACGGTAGTCTAGATATTAGATTTCCATTCATACTGTTAAATAATAGTAAATTGATATTTTATTTAAAATTTAAAAAATTAATTAATATTATATTAAAGTTAAATTAGTAATACATTTAAAATGTAGGGGTTAAATTAAAAATGTCATGTATTTAAATTAAAGGGAGTTAATGATTTAGTGATATTGATCAGAAAGTAGCTTTTTTTTTTCAGAATTGGTGATTAAAGTAAGGTAGACACAAATTTAAAGGGGTTGTTAATGTAGTTAACCCTTTTATTATATAAGCATGATTAAAGTGTTAAACTTTATTTTTTATCAACATGAGAGTTAAAAAAATTATTCTAATTTTCTTATATACACTATTTTTATATTTATATTTTATTATGATAAACTTATATCATATTTTATATTTATAATTTCATGATTGAATTTTACTACTACTTTAGTGATTTTTCAGAAGTAAAAAAGTTTAATTTTGATTATGATTATTTTAAATATTTTAATCAATTAAATTTGATAAAATATATATTTAAAAACTACTTGATTTAAGGTCTTTATAATATTTTTTCATATTTTTATTAATAATCAATTTTACGTAATAATGAGTCAAAACTAAAAAAAATGACAAAAAATTAATAAAAAATAGATTTAATATGACAAAAGGAGTATGACATAATTTCAATAAAATGAAATTATGTAAGAGTATGGCATAATTTATAAAGATGAAATACAAATATATAAAACTAAAATCATATGAAAAAATAGATAAAAATTCTTTAATTCTTTTTTTTTTTAAGATAATTAGAAGAAGTGTATGTTCTAAAGATTTTTAACCATTTAAATCTTAGCATTGGCTGAATAATCACGTGATGCAATCAGATTATAACTTATTACTAACAAGAAAATAATGAGTTTTTTTTTTAAAAAAGTAAAATTTTATAACTTAAATAACTGTCCAATTCTTAAATTAATGAAAACAAATCGAAAGGTCTAATTAACGTTCCAAATAATTGCAAACATATCAAACTTTATGTGATGTCTAATTTTAGCCCAAAATCAATCACTTTTTAACTAGAACAGCCTTTTATCCCCCCAGAAATTAAGGTAAAAGACCCTCTTTGTTAGATCTTTTTAACTCTGCATCCTTTAAAAACCCTCTCTACATTTCACTCAACATTTGTAAAAAACAATCAACGCTCCATTCTCCATTGTGTTCATTATTTGTTGACCATTTAATTCCTTTTGCACTTGCAAATAGAACTTATTAGCAAATTATTATTTTGGTAAGAGTTCTGTTTTCGTTTATTCTTCGAAAAAGAAATGATTGAGTTGAGCTTCGTCAGGTGTTTTAAATGTTTGATAGGAACGGAGATGACACGAAAGAAGAGCTTAATGATTCGCTACAGAAATGGGCCTATTATTTCTGATAAAGAAGTAAATCAAATTATTGAAAGCATTGATGTGAATGGAAATGGTTTCATGGATATCGATGAATTTGGCATATTGTATAAAACTATAGTGAATGAACATAATGAAGAAGAAGACATGATAGACCAAAACAGAGACGGATTCATCACATTCGAGGATTTTAGATCAGTTTTATCGTCATTAGGATTGAAGCAACGGAGAGTTATTGAAGATTGCGAGGAGATGATAACAAAAGTGGATGCAGCTGGAGATGGTAAAGTTAATTTCATGGAATTCAAACAGATGATGAAAGGTGGTGGATTTACTACCTTAAGACCAAGTTAATAGTTGAAATATATATATAAATATGTGTATAAAGAAAAGAGAGAGAAGGATAATATTGTAAGACTTTGCAATGCTTACATGCCACAAATATCGAGGTTTAGGCCTCGTTAAGATTAAAAGATGCTGCTTTGACATTAATTTGTATCTAATTTCTAATCAAATGGTTGATAGTTATTTTTGAATAGTTATTATCTTGTAGTTATCCCGGATTAATAAAAAAAAATCTAATCAAAGAACAAATTGCTCAAAATTACAGAACTATATCTATTTTCAACTTTTTTTCTCCCAGCAGAATCAACTCACAAGAGGATCATGAAGCTCCCATTTCATTTAACAAGATGCTTTAAGTTTAATTGCACAATGTTGAATGCATCTTGATCATAACAAAATGATCCTAAAGAATTTTGTACATGAGTACAAGGTTCCAAGAAACTAAATATACAAATCTAACTAGACAATAAACTAGTCAAGCTAAATGCCAAAGCCTATCTGCGCTACGGTGTGTAGATATGTGCCTTTCAGCTTCGATTTTCCTAACATTGTCTACTATGACTTCAATTTTTGAAGTTAGTTCTTCTGTTTCCTGCTCAACGTTGTTCATGAAAGTGAACAATTTTTCCCGATAAGCTGAACATAATTGCTCTTGACGTTCTAACTCCAGCGTCAGTTCTTCGATTTTCTTGTCCTTATCACCCTGAAAACACAAACAATCCATTCATTTGCTGGAGCAACGGTGAATAATAATGTAAAAGGCACTACTCAATGGCTGTTATGCAAGAATATAGATATTTAACAATCACTATGCAAATAATTAGTTTCGGTTAACAAAAGAAGCAAAGAAAAGATCCCCTTACTTTTACAATCAAACAATCATTCTTCATCTTATCAGATAATAGTTACTTTACAATCAAACAATCATTCTTCATCTTATCAGATAATAACACCTCAATAGGTTCCCGAAGAAAGCTATTAATGTAATGGTGCAGTTAATGACACACCCTGCATACTCGTACTCTTCCTGAAAGCTAGCTCACCATGAAACAGGGTGTTGCAGGACAACAACCATACTACTCCAATACATGGGAGAATTAATTTTCGTTAAAAAACTTCTATAAAAAAAAAATCGTTAAAAAACCCTGTTTTTTAATAATTAGAAAGCTTCAAGGGGCACTTTCAGTGATGAACAATTCAAAGGAGCAAGAGCAAAAGAAAAAGTTATAACACCAAAAATATCATCCATCACTAGTTCTAATCAATGGGTACAAAGTATAGATACTTCATATCTTATAAAACAAATTTTAAGCAGGAATTAAGTTGAATTCTAATAGATTCCATCAAAATGAAAAAGTCCAATTCTAATACAAAAGTGGTGACCAAAAACTCATATATGGCACTTAACCCCAACAAAGGAAATTATCACCCACCCTGCAGCATATGCTATAATTTTAAATCATCTAAAAAAGCTGACCTCTATATACTATTTAATACCAAAAGATCTAATTGTCCATATCAAACAATTAGAATCAAGCCAAACACATCAAATCAAGAAATAGGAACATTCTACTCAATGTAATAAAGTGAAACTCAACTAAATGATCTAAAGCATAAGAGTTTAACAACGAAGTTCAAGACATATAAACTGTATTTAATATGAAAGTGTATGTGTGTGTAACAATTTAAACTACTTTTGTTATACACAACTTGATAGAACCTCACCATGGTATCGAATCCATTGGCTGTTACGATAAGAGGATGATTATGCTCCTTTTCAAATCTTGTAACGACCCATTTTCCATTTTTTTCCATCTTAATCAAGATTGTTGCTTTGCAACCTTCTCGAGCGCTAGGACGTGGCTTTTTCTCTGCTCCTAATGTGCCCTTCTGATTAGGAGAGAAACCCTGTTTGTTGCATCCTAGACGACGGGCAAGTGTTCTTCCATCAATCCCCGAACGGCGGCGCTGCATAATTCGTACCACGAATCCAACCCGTCTGGCATATTCTATGTAGAATTTCTTAGCATCATCTTCAGATTCGAATTCCATGCCGACATATGGTTCTAAGATTTCGCTTCCATCTGGTTCAACTGTTTTTTCTTCAACTGAACTGTCTGCTTTCCCACCTTCCTTGTCCAAATCCCACTAGTACCAAAAACAATTGAATCAGACCTAATGTTGTTTTTGTTCTCTTTCAAATTCAAGCAAAATAACAAGTCTATAAAATTAAAAAGGAAAAAGAGTACTTTTTCTTTTCATGCTATGCAAATCATAAATTTTATAATGATCTGCTTGCTACATATAATTCATGAGACATGTCATAAATAGTTCTCAAAACTTTTCAAATAGTCATACAAACTGCAAGATATGCACCTTAAATTAAGTGACCACTAGTGGGAATGGGGTCAAATACAAAAATGCAAATGACTTCTAAGTCCTAACAATAAAGTTAGAGAGAATCAAGTATAAGTGATGCACTAACATATAAAAGGTATAATTTGCCACAGTTATATGATAGGAAAAAAAAGAAAGAAAAACAAAAGCTAGAGATCCTACTATTTTTCATTAGGCCTATGACTAAAAGGGGAAAATGAACTGATGAATCTAAGGACACTCGAAATCCAATTCCTTAGATGAAACCATCATTACGTATGAAGAAAACTTGATGACAACAAAGCCATTATTCGGAATGTCAGTATTTAGTCAGTTCTTCAAACAAGTGTCAGTAAGAATAATAGTGAAGAGACAGAATGATTAACTGCGGTAACCGTTGAATTTAATCTATTCCTTCTTTCTAGAGGACTGAGGACCCAAAAAACAGAATAGAAAACACCACACATGTACGGACACGAATCAAAGAACAAACCAAATACCTAAACCAAAATGGTAGATTCATAACAAAACAGATCCGAAGGCGACAAATGCAACATTGATAGGTAACTAAATTCCATAAAATTAGTCAATCTTCATTGCAAAATTAATATCTACACAATCTAACATAAAACCCTTTCCTTCATTTTCTAAAGAATCCCCTTCCTTCCACCATCCTACTACAACATAACAGCTCGGCTAGGGCATTTAGGCAGAATAGTCCAACTTAACCATATTCATCAGACAGTTAATCCTAGCCCACACCAATAATTACAATTTTGTTTTCCTAAGAAAAGAGTAATCAAATGCTGCATTCCTCGAATAGTCCAAAATTAAACATTTCTTTCCCAATATTTACCGTCAACAAAAACCCTATAATTCTTAAGCCAAATAAATAAAACTTACAAATATATACAAGTAATTCCTCACTCCAGAACAAGAAAGCAGAAGAGAATGGTGTGCTAGAAGGATTTAGAGTGAATAATTGGAGGCAATTTAGGTGGTTATTTTAAGAGATGATAAAAACAACATCGCGGCGTGAAAATTTAAAGGGAAAAAACTTACTGCATGAAGAGCTTCTGATCCGAGAGACATCCAAAGAATTTGAAAAGGAGACTGATTCACTGATCCGATGCAGCCGAAAGGCGAGAAGGAATACAAGGCTCGGCTCGATATGAAAATAATGGATTCTGAACCGTTGGATGTGCTCTTAGATTTGCCCAAATATTAAATTGAGTTTTCGGGGCTTCTCTCCCGTCTGTAAATATACAATCGCTCGTACTTCATGCTTATTTCGACTTCCACGGGTTAATGGATTGGGATCATATCGGGTCGTAATTTGGATCCGAAATGTTTATAGGAGATCTCAATAGGTTAAATTATGTTATTATATCCCCATTCCCTACCTTCGCTGTAAATTATTCACCTATGTACTTTAATTTAAATACTTTAGATAATAACTTAATAAATAAAAAATAATATATTAAATTCGAATTTAATGAATCCAAATAATATATAATATTTAAATAAAATCAATTTATTAAATTATATATAAATAAATATATTTAATTTGAATTTGAAAAATTAAATTACTATAAATTTAAAATAAAATCAAGTCATCATAGTGATAAACAAGTAATTCCTAACTAGGGAAACCTCCCAAGCGCTAAGACCAGAGTAGGTAAACAACACAAATGATTATTCATGATTTAATATGTTTTTGTTTTTTCTATTAAAAATTTAAAACTAACGATTTAATTATTAATATTATTAATTTATAAGATATCAGTCTCTCGACGTCAACAATCGTTAACTTAGATGACGACAAATGTACGTGACAAATTAATCACTTACATGAAAACGTCAACCGCCACGTTAGAGGGCCCGTTGGATTCCGTGTTAACCGACCACCTCTGCAACTTCTGTTTTATCCCTTAGCAGATTCTATCTCTGTTTCAGCTTCAGCTTCTGGGTTTCTTGTTCCTCGGTTGCTTCACAAAAGAACCCTTTCTGCTTTGTGATGGGATTTCCATTCACCTCATATATTGAATCCTTATTAGAAATTGCAGAGCTAAGCACGCAGAGCATGGAGTCCCATTGGTTCCTCCCGATTGAGTCACCTACAAATGCAATGCGTCGGTTCCTTAGTTTTCCAGAATCATCGTTGCATTAAATCTGTCCCCCAAAGAAATAGAAAAACCAAAACTTAGAAGAAAATATCAAAATTGATTTCTACTGCAATTGACTTAAAATCTCATTACAGAAAGAGAGGTCTTATTTTGATCTTAGTTTCTCTTTTAGGCTAAAAATTTAGTATATTAGAGACAGCTAACCCATAAATAAACCAAAATGAAGTTAACTAATGGAGGACAGGAGATCATGTAAAAGCAGAAGACTACTATTGGCAACCGACATTATTATATATTTATATTCAACTACAATGAACCTTCTCTTTGTCTCTTTCGTCCGCTACAAGAAAGCTAATGAGATGAACATAACAAGAAGGGAAAGAAAGATTCAAAAGACCAGGGCAGATTGCAAGCTTTGGTTTGCAACGCCATTTCGTGTAGAAACTATCAGGTCTACCATTCTCCAAACAACGGAAACCGCTATGAATGAAAGGGCAATGTGGAGTCTGGTACAATGGATAGTTACCATCCCAAAACCATCTCCCATGGCTACAGCCCTTGTAAACGAGCTCCCACTTTCACGTAACTTTGTAAGCCTTCGATTGTCTACTAACAATGTCACCCTCTCATGCACGATGTCCGCGGAAAGGAGTGGAAAAGAGTGATGAAGCTGTGATTAAAGGAGTGGAAATGAGGAAGAAGATAAACAATTATTTTAAGAAAAATAGTTATCTCATTAAAAATGAGTTAAAGGGTCTACCAAAATACGACAAACATGATCAAAGGATGTCAAGTCAGTTTCTTTAATTGTCACATCATATTGTCGTGACCTTACTAACTAATATTAAGCTTAGTAACCGATTGTTATAAATAAATAATATTAGTGACCGTTTCGTTAGTTTTAAAACTTTAATAGTAAAAGTAAAAATTTACTTAAATATTAGTGACTATTTATGTAGTTTACTAAAAAATGAAGGCCAACAATTATTTTAGGTTTGATACAAAAAATATTTATTTGTGCCTAAACTTTTTTTAGTCAATTTAAGTGTATATCGTTATAAACGTTACAGTTTATTTAAAATTATAAAAAAATTCTTAAAATCCTAAAATATTTAATTTCAAATCTCATTTCCAGTCACATATTGTTTCCAGTCATCTCTGATCACTGTTTCTTTTATTGTTTACCTTCTGATCGACCATCACTTTTATCGTTTTCCCAAATCACTAAACATATAAATCCTTAAATCCTTAATCCTAAATATAATGAGGGGGATATTTGAGTTTATTCAAATGGGAGGTAGGGGACGAGAGAGGAGCCAAAAGGGGGACGAGAGGAAGAGAATGTGGGAGGGGAAAGAGAGGTGAGTAAATGCAAGTGAATTTGCGTTCATTGCAGCAAGGGAAAGGAGGAGGTGCAACATGGAGAGAGCGGAGGGGGAATGCGGGTGTGGGAGGGGAGGTTTATATATATATATATATATATGATAATTTTTTAAAAAATATAAATGTGACACATATCGTTTAGCAGATTTTTTAATGCATATTATGATCGGAGCACTTGAAATATAACATTTATAATGTTAGATATTGACCAAAAACAATTTAAGCACTTAAATAGGAAAATATGTGTAGTTTATACAATTTTTTTACATTAAGCCTAATTGTTAAGGATAAACGCTATTATTAGTCGTCCAGATAATGATGTCATTTTATTTTAGTATTTAACTATGAAAAATTTCAATTTGATCACTAACATTTTGGATTGATTCTGTTTTAATCATCCCTTAAATCGTTAATAAAAATGATGGTATGATCTGTTTTTAAAATTGATATGATAACACATTTACCCTTAAGATTTAACTATTTTATTAATTTAATTCTAATTAAATAATTCAAATATTCCACGACGTCCTCCTAATTTATTTCTGGGTTCCTATCATTGTAACCCAAATTTGACCATTATATTTAACTAAAACCATAATGTAGACTGTGAGTTTATAACAAATGAAACAAGTACACAATGACCTTATCCTTCAGGTTTATTATACGGTAAGAACGACTTTCGTGAGTTTTACATTCCTTATCTTCTGATAACATAACATTTAGTTTGTAAATGGTAGCCTACTAGTTAAAATTTTGGTTCACTTGTACCAAGATATTTCTGAACTTTGAAGCAGCCTTTTACAGAGCCTATGGTACTGTTGAGATAGAATTTCAAGTTGCTGATCGTTATGCTTCGACGTTTCTGATATAGGCGTATGAGTAGAGCTGAAGTCAAAGACATTCCGGTAACAAGAAACAAACCTCCAAAGCTACCAACGTTTAACCTGCTGGGATTGCTTGACTAGTCCTGGTTTGTTAAGACTGATTCAGTATAGTTAAACCATTCATTTTCCATCTTTTGCAACTTTCCTTCCTCTCTTAGCCTCGTAATTGCACCTGATATGTCTTGGACGAGTGGGGAACCTTTAGGGAAAGCCTGTGAAATACATAAAACATATCAAAGGAAGATCAAAATTATGATTGTCAATAGCTTTGCTAAGGAATCTTACAAAGCCGAAACCGCCTGAAACACTTGGTTTTAATCATTCTGTAATCAACAGGGTGCCTGGCAACGAATACCTTAAGGTATGGTATTTCAACGATAATGGCCGACACACCACCTTTTTCACTTCCCCTTCTTAAAGCATTGGCATATTCTTCTGGAGAATTGTATGGTTTTTCCAGTGGATTTTCAAAATTTAAGTTGCTAATAGTTCCTAAAACCGAAACATAATGATAACCTACATATCCCACTTTCGAGTTCAATTCGATCTGTTCAATTGTTAACATGGAAGTCAAAGTAGCAGTGTAGCTTGAGGTTATTATAAGGACAGCAAACACCCATATCGTCACAACGAACTTCGATAAGTTGCTCAACAGCGTCTCCTCTGCAGTTTTGAATTGTAATATATATAAGAGAAATTATTGTCGTCTTAGCTCAATGTATGCATCAAACAGAGATGATATTTAAGTTGAACATAAAGTACTTACTGTGAGCAAAGACCAGAGATGAGAATGAGTACCAAAAGATCATTCCTATTTGCTCGGATGATGAACCTTGGAACTCATCGTTGATGGGATGTTCGATCAGCCAAACCACAAAGCCAGTGAACAAAAAAAGCAGTAGTTGTTATCTACAGATCTCTGGAAAAAGGCTGAAGGAAGATCCACATACTGCTTTTGCTGATTTTCAGCACCACGATTCCAGTGCCTGAGTCCGTGTATGGCAATGTGAAGTCTAAATATGAAAAATCTTTCAGAGAAAATTGTCACATCTCCCACAACAGCATCGTAATTCTAATCCATCGATCACAACAAGGAATAAGTTGAAAATTTTGAACGTAAACGTTCTATGACTTAAAATATAAACTACAAGCTGCTACCATCTAAAAAAGCATTCGTACCTTGTGATAAACCTGAAGGAGAAGATCCTTGTGAGATCCTGCCATTTGTCCGTTGGCATCTTCGAATGGGATGAAGTCATAATGTACTTCGTAATCTAAGATTTGAACGACTTCCTTAAACAAATCAACACAGAATCCAGATACGATCGATTCATTTGTTCGGGGATCATGAATCAAGCTTAATAATTATCTGAAACCATTAGTTACTGGAACCCCAATCCTCAAACTCCTCACATGTAGAGACCAACCTTTTGGAATGTTCTTAGTTCCTCCAGGCCAAATAACACTTTTAAGCTTGCTAGACAATGTCGTGTTTGTCTCGGTACGGTCTTCCTTCATTATTGGAGTAATTCTGATTTTCGGATTCCAGTAACCAATTATTCTTTCTTCCATGATTACATTTATGATTTCAAATTCCTTTGGGATCAGCCTGCCATTAGCAAGTTGAAAGCCACTACTTATTCCCTTAAATCTACTCTAATATCTCACCAATAAACACCAAACCACTTTGTGAGGAACGGATGGTAGTGAAGTTCATATTCAATCCTGTTTCTTGGTGTATGATATTGCGATGTCGAATCATCATGCTTTCTGATGCTGTTGCCAGAGCCTGAACCATATCATAAGTGTATATACCGTAGACA